GGGCACGCTGACACCAACTGGGGGCCTCCTGACACCAGCTAAGGGCGCTTTTGTATTTGACACGAGCTCAGGGCCTTTTGACGCCCTTTGAGACCTTCTGAGGTCCGTTTGACGCCAGCAGAGGACCCTTTGGGGTCATATGAGGGCCCTTTGCTGCCTTCTAAGCGGCCTTTGAGGCTTTTTGAGGGCCGCTTGACGCCACCTGAGGACCGTTGCGGTTGGACTCCAGTTACGGACCGTTTGAGGCCTTCTGATGGCCATTTTGCGCCAACTGAGGGCCCTCTGACACTAGGTGGGGGCCCTCTGACACCAGATAAGGGCCCTTTAAGGCCTTCTGAAGTCCGGTTAACGCTAGCGGAGGGCCTTTTGAGGCCAAATGAGGGCCCTTTGAGACCTTATAAGGGCTCCTTGAGACTTTTGAGGGCCGCGTGACGGCATCTGAGGACCGTTGTACTCCAGCTGACGACCGTTTGAGGCCTTCAGATGGACTTTTGGCGCCAGCTGAGGAGGGCTCACTGACACCAGCTGGGGGCCCTCTGACACAAGCTAAGGACTCTTTAAGGCCTTCGGAGGGTCGTTTGACGCGAGCTCAGGGCCCTCTGACGCAGGTTTAGGGCCCTTTGACGCCCTTTAAGGTCTTCTGAGGTAGGTTTAACGTTGGCTGAGAGCCCTTTGAACCCATCTGAGGGCCCTTTGAGGTCATCTTGTGGCCCTTCATTTGGCCATCTGAGGGCCCTTTGACACCAGATGAGGGCCATTTGACGCTAACCGAGGGCCCTTTGAGACCATCTGAGGACCCGGTGACCCCATCTGTGGGCCCTTTGAGGTCTTTTGAGGGCCATTGAAATTTCACCACAATACCCCTGGCTGCGCTACTGGGCATTTATGGACTCGTATTCGTAATTCGTAATTCGTAATTCGTAATTCGTAATTCGTTTATTAGGGCTGATCCACAGGTGGCTATTACGGCCCAGTCAATACAAGCAATATGAGAGTACCTAAGTCACAAAAATCATCATAGTAAAAGACACACAAAATGTACAATGGTACTAAAAAAAAAAAAAAAAAAACACTCAGGTGGCGACATGTCTCTATCGGAAGAACCGCATCAGCTGTGCCCTGGAGGCGGTCCCTGTCACCTCTCGCGGCAGCCCGTTCCAAGCCGCCGCGGCTCTGTACGGGAACTGCCGCCGAGCCACCGCCAGGCGGACTCGGGGCAAGTCGATCACCGCCGAGCCCGCAGCGGTGGCACGCGTGGCCCTCTCTGAGACGACGGCTCGTGGGCGAAACATTGCCCGTAGCGAGTCAGGGGCACCAGCGGCATACAGGGCGCGATGCACATTCACTGCGTCCCTGCGCGCGATCACTTCCCCAATGTTGGGCCAGCCGAGCGCGCCGAGAGCGGGGGTGATGCGGTCAAATTTACGTATGGGCCGTATGGGCCATTCATTCATCGTATGGGCCTGCTGGGGAACGAGATGGGCCCTCCCGGTCTTTTCAATCATTATTTCAGTTCATTTTACATGGTTTTCGGCGGTCTAAAGATTAGGGGTCCCAACTCGAATGTGGGGAGGCCCGTGTGCCCTCTCCTGTGTGCGGCCTTGCCGACACTACACCGCTTCCCCTCCCTCCGCCATAAACGCACCGCTGCACTGTTAGGCGCCGACAAATACGGACCGGCGCCGCAACCGGCTCCCCCGCGGCCTGCCTCGCGTTGACATAGCCCTTCCCGAACACCAGTGTAACCCCCACGCGGCCTAGGTATCGCCGCGCCCACCTGTCCGCGGCGCGGCCTCTGATGGCGTATCGGATCATTGATGGTGCGATACATGTTTTGGTCAGATTTTCGCAATTAACGCGAAAAATTGCCCAAAACACTTTTTAAATTTTGAAAAAGTGATTACAAAAATGACGTGAAAGTGACCGTTTTCAACGTGTAAATTTAAAACGCTCTAGCGCAGCCATTTTTGAAGAAATCGACTTCAAATTTTGCACACGTGTTCATCAACCATATTTGTTTAACATATATTTCGGTTTTGTGAAAATTTTGAAAATTTCTTATATTTTTCTCTTGAGAAAGAGGTAAAGCTTCACTACGATCGGCCTTCCGATCGACCGAGAAGATTCGTAAAGTTAGTTCGTATCTTCACCATTTGCGATACAACTTGCGTATCTACTTAGCCTACGATGTGATGGATCCCTCCAATATCTGTTCCGATTCAACTTACGTTTGATCGCAACTGCGAGGTGCCTTGCGATCACATGGATCCCCCCAGCCCATGAATGTTTAGCGTTCTCGGAGGGGTGTTTCTGCGGGAACAGGACGGCCGCTGCGGGCCGGCTCGGGATGAAATGACGTCACATATCATCGGCCGGGCATTCCTACCCGGTGATGGAATGGCCTCATAAACACCACTGGTCGCGGTGCCGGGCGATAAAGGCGCATTGAGTGCCGCTCCGGCGCACCCGGAAGGAATAATGCAGCCGGTTTTATCGACTGTGGCGCACTGTATCGCTGCAGAGACGAGACTCGTGGAAAGAATGAGAGACATGGGAGGATTTCGGAATAGCCAGGCTGTCAACGTTCTCAGATAGTAAGGGTGTATTTCTTCGGTATGGTGCCTGGCGCGCCCCTCCTGGTTTTGTCGGGAGGCATGACCTCATGTTTTCTGTCTGAGTGATAACATCGGGGCCTCGTCAGTCCCAGACACGGGAGTGCCAGACACAGGAACAGAAGTGGCGGATGATGCTGCAGGCATTTTACGAGGCAATTCATCTTTCATTAAACACGTGGCTAATTTAGATATGCAGCATGACTTCACTAAACACTCGTTTCCATGGTTATAAAGAAGTTACGTTGAAGCGGTTCCGTCATTTGATAGCCTACTACTCCCATTCACAGTTCTACTCATTGAGACATTTCATTCACCAGCTGCGGTCGGATGTGCGAGCTGTGTTTATATCTCACGTCATAACTGTCATTCAGCGGACGTATCTCGTGACACACGGGACGTATCTCGTTTGTGTCACCGGATGACGACCACGATGACGTCGTCTGATGACGCCAATGGCGCCGGCTCGGTCATCAGGCCAGACCCGTCTGTCTGAACGTTTCTGTCTGTCAGGTTATGCCTGTTCGTCAGGAGATGTTTCGCTATAAGTTTTTTTGTGTTATGGCTTTTGTTATAGGTTTTGTTGTAGGCTATAGAGTGTAGGTATATAGACCTGTCTGTGTATATAGGCCTGTCTGTCTTTTAGCCCTTTCCATTTTATCCCCTACCCTTCTCCCTTCTTTCGATCTTTCGTCTTTCGATCATCAATCTGCCTATTACTGAATGTGTTGATACTCGTCTGGAGCAAATCGCCACGCGTTTCACTAATGGTAGGTCAGCACCCGAGCTAGCATTGCACCTTGTGATGGATGGGCCTCTCGACTGAGCGCCGGTTAACGAACCTGAGGGCACCGGTGACCTGTGCCAGGTGCAGCCCGGTTGCCAGACGGAGCTGAGCTGCCAGATGCTGGCCGGCTGCGAACGGAGATGTTTGGAGGCTCTGAAGGGCGGCGGTCGAAGCGGAACAGTTTGTTGGTTTGGCTGATGGCGATGAAGAGATAGTACCCCAGGTGCTGTGGGTGAGGTGTGAGACAAGCGTGGATCAACAGGGCTGATTTTGCCGCGCTAATAGGTGTGTTAAATGTGGGTGTTAGAGCATAACTGGCTTAGCTCCGCGCAGCGACTTATGTGAACTGGAATGGTAATTAGCTAATTGGTCGCGACTTACCGCGATGTTTCTCCGTCTTGCCATGCTAGAACTCGTCCAGTCGCTGCCGACTGTCTGGCCCCCTCCCCTTCTGACCTTTCGTGACCTTTTCGTGACCTCACGCCTGGCCCGTCACGCCATTGTTTCATCCTGAACGTCTACAGGCTCTCTCTCTCTCTCCCTCCCCTCCCTCCCCTCTCCCTCCCTCCCCCTCCCTCCCCTCCCTCCCTCTCCCTCCCTCCCCCTCCCGTCCCCGTATGTCCTTCACCTGTCTGTCCTGTCAGTTTCCATTCATCCTCACCCACCGTTGTCGCCCTCTGCCGTCCGCCGCGGTCGACGTCTGCCTTCCGACGCCTCCGACGACTCCCATCGTCGCCTTCGACGGCCCCATTGTCGTGACCGTCGACGGCGTCGTTCGCTTCGACAGAGAGCTCGCAATTTCCGTCAATAGAGGCACGTCTTAGTCGTGAGGGCCCGTGCAGACGTTCCGTTTTTATGGAGTGCTCCTGCTCAGCCGGCGGACACGTTTTTGTGAGATGCTCTCTCGCTTGGTTTCCGACCTGGGGAATGTTGAAGAGTATCGAGGTTTTTGGGCGAAGTGGTTTGGACAGGGGCAGGGTATATTGGGTGAAGACAGGGGTGTTATGAGAGGTGCAATGCCTATTGTGAGCTTTGGCGGGCATGGTTCAAAGTAAGCGGGGAAAGGAGCTTTGCCTAAGAAACTTTGTAGAAGGCAGGGGAAATGGACGTTTCTCACTTACCAATCCCCAACCGAAGAGAAGAGATATCCAAGTATTGTGCTAATGCTGGGCCGTTATGTCACACCACAACTTACAAGGAGACTGGGGTTTACTGGATACCGCTCCTGCCATGACATACGGGGGTCGGGAAGCCTTTGTGCTGATAGGGTGTGGGATGGAGCGAAATATCAGAATTACATATTCCTAGCACGGAGTTAGTGCAGATGATATGCAAATACTTGCGTGAGTTACTGGGCCGAATTAAATTGCGAGCTCAGGCAGAATAGAGTTCTACTTCTTATCATATCGCTTATCAAATGAGCGTTGAGAGTTGATGCAGAATTTCAGTGCAATTCATAATCACTTCCACTTATGCCAAAAGTTGTGACTATTGTAAAATGCTCCTTGTTGAAAAAATACGAATGTTGCCAAACGAAACAAAAGGCTAGAACTGTTGGGAATCGAACCCGTGATTTGACATCGTCCTTCCTTCTTTCGCAGGACTCTGAGGTGCTGAACGCCTGGCTCACCGACTTCCACTTTGAGGAATACTACCAGCTGTTCGTCAACGCCGGCTACGACATGCCCACTGTCTCACGCATGACGCCCGAGGTGAGACAGCGTGATGACGTCACTGGGGTGGAGCGGTGACGTCACCGGGCGGCAGATTGCGGCCGTCCGCCGGCACTGAAGTGTCAAATTGGCTGTCATTTGGGACGTAACTGGCGGTGATTGGGGGCCGCGCTGGCCCGGCGCCGGTGGTCGCCGCCGCCGGCCGACACGGGACCGGGACGCCCGGAAATGGCCACCCACTGATCGGAGAGAAGTTTGAACGGGTTCGGTGAACGACGGGTAGATTTAGACCAGTGGGGCTGAACCGTGACGAGACTGCGAAATTGTCAGCTCAGTGGGTCCGTGTCTCAGAGACAATGGGCCTCCTTGCCTGGTCTCGACGATTTCTCGTTTCGCGTCAGGACCCTCACCCGCTCCTCGTTTCCACTCTGTTTTCCAGTCCGTAGTTTTTCTGAGACTGCCTGCTTTAGTGCAGTGCTCACTGTCCCGATCAATTAACTCCAGCAGGCACACCCCGAACGGTTCGAAACCCGGCGTGACACGATAGTGCACTTTAGTCTGTCCCGTCTGCGATGTGCTGCTGGCATCACTCTGCCGACTCCCCTTAGAGCCCCTCTCTGCCCTGACGGATCCTAGTGTGGATCCGGGATCCTGGATCCCAGAGTGTCCCGGAAATAACCCGGACACACTCCAGGCGCTGCGATGGTGGCCCAACTTGGCCCTGTTTCCGGTGCGCCGTGACAGGCGGCGTCTAAATGTCACCGGATTGCCGGTGTTGCGCTGTGATTGTGTCATATAGTCTGCTTCAGGGGAAATTCAATTATTCGTAGGCATATCTAGAGTGCTTGCTCACTGCTCATGAGATATTGCATCAAACCACCTATTCCTCGGCAGGCACTAGCAATCAAAATAGCTGTGTAGTGTGTAGTACTAAGAACCGCGTAGTGCCACTAGTCATGACTTCGGATTAGTCCGGTCCCTTTCCTCTGTCCTTCTCTCGTTGTTTTCATTGCCTCATCCTCTCTCATCCCGCCGCATTCTCTACCGATTCCGTGTCTATTCTCCACCCATTGTACCCATTCCATCTCCATTCCGCGTCTATCCCCGGGGCGGCACCCTGGGGTCCCTCCCAGCGGGCGGCGGCCGGAGTCCTGCCGGCGCCGGCCCGCCATTGCCGGGTACCGGCCTGGAAGTCCATTAATCAGCCAGTCGTGGACGCCCTCGGGCGGAATGCAGAACAGACGTTCGGCCAGCGACACGGCCGTCGGACGGTGGCTAATGTTAGCGGCTCGGCGGCCCGCCGACCAGCTACGGCACGTGGCGCAGGAAATTAGGTGGAAACGCTCTGCCACTCCGGATGTGCAGTCTGCTCCGCGAATGCTGCAACCCGCTGCAACTGACGTGGATTCAGGCGGGTTGTGAAATGTAAATATACAAATTCACGGATCCGTTAAACGGAAATGTTCATATTTTGGATGCCAACTGAGCAGGTTTTGCGGAACTTCATCGAATGCTCGTACTGGAACCACTGCGGCGCTTTCATGTCTGCAATTGCCTTTACTTACCTGCCCAAGCAGGCGTATGGCACTTAAAGGAAATAGTTCACTTTTAACATGGGGTTTTAAACTGGAATAGCAGTTTCGTAGCTTGAGCTGAGACTAGCACAAATCAGGAGCTTTTACGGCTCAACGATCACCCTAGACGAAGATATTCCATTTCTCGTTCCGAAAAGAGTGCCTTGCAGAGGAATGCGTGCCTTGCACAGGAATGCAGCCACGTCATCGTCAGCCAATCAGCATGCTGCTTACAGCCAATGCAGTATGCGTAGGTTTGAACTACGCAATATGATTGGTCAGCACGTAATAAGCTTCCGCGTCAAACATCATTTTACATAGAATATAGTTCGTCCTATATTAAAATATAGAAAATAATTGTTTTTACAAAAAGGTTTTATTTTATTTCATGATCATTTTGAGCATAAAAAATCATAAATCAATAGCAAAATACTAATTTCAGGAAAGTGAACTGTTTCCTTTAAATGGTGCATATCGGCATTGTAAACACTCCTTTCTTGGAACAAAACCTATCTGTAAATTGGAGTCACGCAATGGTGATGCTCGACGCTGACCTAAACTGGCGCTTGAACTGGCGCTACCAATCAGGGCACCACGGAATATTCCAGAGGCCGCCGCGCGTGCGACCACCCGGGAGAGCCTGGACAGTATGTGTGTGTCTTTATTCCGCGTCCCGGCGGGTCTGTTTATTTTGTTTACTCTCACAGACGTTTGTGTGCGCGTCGGGCGAGGTATTGCCGCCAGACGAGGAATATTGCGGGTTTCTTGGATTTGCCGCAGGGAAGCGGCCGTAATAGCGTCACCTGAGACGGTGTTTTGTGGTTGGGGAGCTAGCTGATCATTGATTAGGTGTTCGGTCCTCTACCTGGGCATTTCTGTTTTTGCATTGTCTAGATGAACTTCTTCACTTCTTTACATTAATTACTTCATTATATTAATTCCAGTCTGGTCTTTGTGTGTCTCGTATTCTCCCCTATGCAGAGCGCTTGCGTGCGTAGGGCTACTGTCATTTTCCGCATAATCTAACCACCACCATCTTCCGCAATCCGCAGGATCTAACCGCCATCGGAATCACCAAGCCAGCGCACCGGCGTAAGCTGAAGGCGGAGATCGCTCGTCTGAACATCTCGGACGGCATCCCCGACTTCATCCCGGACAGTCTGGATGGCTGGCTGCACCTGCTGCGTCTGAGCGACTACGCCGAGCTGCTGAGGGCGCAGGGCTATTCGAGCGTCCAGCAGGCCACAGAGATCACCTGGGAGGACCTCGAGGAGATCGGCATCTCGCGGCTCGGCCACCAGAAGAAGATCACGCTGGCTATCAAGAGGGCGAAGGATATACTGACGGGGAAGAGGGTACCGTCACAATACCAGCATCAGTATACTACGCAGGTATGTGGAAAAGGCTGGGCGGTGTTGGGATGGGGAGAGAGACTGGTTACTTGCTGATAATTTTGGGAGTAATTCGCATCTTTCTTGGAGTCCTGGATGTTACGTGTAAAAGTTTCACGAGTGCTGGATGAATATTGGATGAACTGATAGCATGGCTAGACACTGAACTCATAATACCGCGTGTTGGCGTGCTATTTTCATAGCAGGTGTTGCTTGTAAATTGTTGAAGCCCATTTACAAATTAAACCGTGTCTTGCATCATTCGCTTTGTCTGGAGCCGCGACACTGCGCTATTTTTATACAGCGAGCGTCCTCAGCCCTCATGCCACCCAGGCAGGTTGTGACGAGCATCCCCACGGCCCTCCCACCTCCCCAACTGACGACCCCGTCTCCCTGCCTTCAGGAGATCGCCATCCCGGCCACTGCCAGTCCCACCGAGCCCACCTACCAGCAGCTGAAGACGTTCCAGCAGCAGCCGGCGGCGGCGCGTGCCGACTCCTGGGCCGACCCGGGCCGCTACCAGGGCTTCTCGCAGTACCGTCCGCTGCCGCTGCAGCAGGTTCAGGTGCAGGTGGAGACCTCGGCTGATGTGGGCTGTGACGAGCCGCCGCCGCCGCCGGCGCCCCAGACCCAGCTGCAGTACTTTGAGCAGCAGAGGTATGTTCTGCAGGGGCCCAGCTCGTGGCGGAGGAGTTACGAAGACGGCGACCTGACGCCGACCAATGAGCCAGTCCCGCTGGAGGCGTCGGGCACCCTCCCCCGTCAGCGTCCGGGCGCCGGCCGACAGCGGCCCGTCGCCAAAATCGTGGCCAAGACGCGCGACTCTGAGCCGGAGTCGGACCGCGACGCGCCGGTGAAGCCGGTGAAGCAGTACGGCAGCCTGCCGCGTGACCCACTGAAGCGCATGGAGGTGCTGGGCGCGCCGCCGGCGCCGTTCAGCACGCCCCAGGGCACGCCGCGGAAGCCGGTGCCGGCGCCGCCGCGGCGCGACAGTCTGCGCGCTGAGGCGCTGGCGGCGGCACGTCACGACTTCCCGCCGCCGCCGCTGCCGCTGGTGGTGCGAGACTCTGGCGACGCCAGCGACGCGTCCGACTGCGAGAGCGCCAGCCCGGCCACCGGGCGGGCCACGCGCAACGACAGCAGCGCCAGCTTCAAAGTAGGTGGCGGCTGGGGTGGCGGTAGGGCGGTGGGGGGCGCTAGTGGCGTCTGATGCCTGCTGGCAGGGAAGGCCTGACTCGGCTGTATAGGCAGTGAGACTAAAACGTATTGTGTGCTTGGAACGCTTTATTTCCTTCTTTGTATGCATTATTCATAGACCGGATACGCTGTTTCTTATAACGCTTGGAAGACAGGTCACGTCTCATTTCTGCAGTGTGAAAAGCTCAGATGAATCCTCCCTGTTACATCGTATTTCCTGCTAGTCTCAATGCTAGGTACTCTTCACCCACTTCATTTGTTTTTATATCTCCCCTCGAGGGCCGCGAGCCCCTATCCCTCAGGCATTGTTAAATGGATGTGTTTCTCTGACCCTCTCGTCTCTCCCGCAGTCAACGTCGAGCACAGAGTCCGACTCGTTCCCGTTCGCCAACGACAACGCGGGCACCATCAAACAGCGCACACAGCGCTCCCACACCGCCGGAGACCTGCCGTCTAGTCTAAGTGCCAAGTGAGTGTGTGTGGACGGACTTGAGCAGGACACTGGGTGACGTCATAGTGACGTCAGTTTGTGACGTAGTGGCGGTGACTTTGTGCCTGGTATTTAGTGGTGGTAGAGGCGGTGATGGAAGTGGATGCATGGCGAGCTTTCGAGGGTTTCATGCGTGACTGTGTAGATTTCCTCGCTGCACATTTCTGCACGGTGTGAATTGGACTTTTATCTCTCGTGATGTTTCCGTTATTTTAATGTAAACTGAGGCATTTGTGCCTCTGCATGGGTCGAGCGGTTAACGGGTTTCTCTGTGACTTACCTGGTTTCTGTTTGGATTACCTGTGGTGTTCCTAGTTCGAAACGCATGCTCTTGTCATTCACCTACCGGTTGAGGTCTTTTGCACATTGCATGATTCTCTGCACCTGTAAAAAGCACGCGGTATGCACTTTGGTCTGGATTTCTGGTGGTCTATCTGTATCACTTGTTTGGCGATGCATTTCTGGTGCAACTTTCTGCTGGACCTTCCCATATTTTTGGGCTTTGTTAAGAGCTTTTCTCTTAGTTTCTAGTTGTCCTGTGTTCTTAGCATTTGAGTTCCTTTAGCGATAATGGTTACTGTATTACTGTATTGGGCACAATTGTAGAGCGATGTATTGTATTTTTAGCGTCACTTATCACCGTTGTATCATCCTGCCTCTGTTGAGCGGGTCAGTACAGAAACGTAACGTTTCTTCTCCATAGTGAGCATAATGAGGCTCGTCACCGACGTTTCTGCTTCTCTGTACTGTTTTGCGTAGTGTCAGCAGTGTGTGGTTCGTTCGTCTACCGCGGTGCGGCGCTGCAGTCGGCGTTAGTGACACGTCCCCGCCGCAGGTCGGGAAAGGCGGCCGCCGGCGCCGGCCAGGGCGACGTGCTGAACGACATCGGCTCCATGCTGGCGGACCTGACCGACGAGCTGGACGCCATGTTGGAACTGGAGAGTGAAGCGCCCTGAGCGCCGCCATCTTGAACGGACTGGGTTTGTCTCTGCGCGCGCGCCGGCCGATCCGACCGAGAGAGGCCGGCCGCGACTGGAGGGTACGTTGGTGCTGCTGTGCTGGTGCTGTGGTGCAAATATCACCACGGTGGTGCGAGCGGCACAGTCACAGCGCTGTGAAAACGGCGGCAGTAGGGCAACAAAGATGGCGGACGTTACGCCAAGATGGCGGCCGCTGCCGGCGCTACCGGACGGTGACTAGGGACGGCTGGCCGCGTTTGCCGCCGGAGCGCTGAGCGCGGCGCGGTTTCGACCAATGTGGCGCGTTTGATGGTTGTATGATGTACAGGAAGATGTGAGACCTACTGCCGTGTGTGGTGTCCCTCTGCTCCTGTCGGGAGCGGCGCGAGGTTTGTCCTGCTGTGTTCGCTCAATTGTCGCCGCATTGTATCGCATTTAGCCGCTTCTTATCGAAAGAATAACGCATTTGTTTTAATATAATGAGCTTGTTTGTCCGAGGGCGTGTCAAGCTTGCCGCCAGAAGCGTCAGCTTTCTGTTTTTCTGAACCATTTTGCGATGATCGCCGAGTTTTCTCCTTGGTCTGTGTTGTATTTAGTGAGCGAGGAAGTGTTTTGTTCGGGCGGCCGCTCTGCCCGGGCAGCGCGGCCCGGATGTGTTGGAGCCTCTATGTAGCCCTGTCCGGAGTTGGCCCCCGTTCGTTCACCTCTGTCTGGGTGTCCCTATCTGTTTTGGCGGTTGTTCTTAGTACTCAGCGTCTTAAGTTCGGACCGTATGTGAGTCGCAGCGAGAGGGAGTGAGAGGACGGACTGAGAGACAGAGCATATTTGTACTGACATTGTTCAAGAATATAAGATGAGTCGATCACTTTCAATGGTGTTGGTCTTGTGGGAGGATGGGGTACTTAGTTGAAAGATTTGGAACGAACACGACGCCTGCAGATACACAGCTATTCACACAAATGGTGGAACGAACTGCTCTCTCCATTATGTAGTCTGCCTAGATGATCGCCACACGCAGAAATAACGATCAATCCTAAACACGATGTGCGACTTAGCGCTTGTGTAAGAATTTAGTCAGGAAAGGTGCAGCTTCCCTAACTAGTTACGTGCCAGACAAAATTAGCGAGAGAGAGAGAGGGAGAGACAGACAGAGAGAGAGAGAGGAGAGGGAGATAGCACTACGGCAGAACCGAGGAGGACGGAGATAGAGAGAGGGAGGAACTACCAAACCGTGACTGAATATCCCGGCCTGGAGTTCGAACGTCTCGGCTATATAGCCGGCTACCCCCATATAGCCGCTACCTGTAGTGGACGGCCGCGGTAGACGTCTCTCGTTGACTGACTGACTGACTGGCAGTCCATTCGGGGTTTCACGTGTTAGGCATTATCTTTATCTCTAATAAAATGCCCTCTTTCTATTGAAAACCAAAGTGGTTTTTTTTTTTTAGTATGAAGTTTACTTATATCAGCGGCACCAAAATATGCGGGAAGCTGCTTGTTCACTTGGCCTCATGCCAACGGATGTTACTTTATGATACGACCGCATGAGGCGATCTGCTTAAAGACGACAATACCCGTTCTTACCCATCTACTAGTCTTTCAATCTCCGAGGCTTACTCTTTTCGGGTTCATTTGTGAGATGCGGCAATGTCGTTCGCTAACAGTTAAGTTTGCGCAGCATGTTACATTCATTAAAAAAGTAGGCATACGAGCGTATATCAGATACAAAGGACATTTCTGGTAACCCGCGCTGTTCCGAATACCAGATGATTGTTGGCTAAGCTGACATTGCCCGACCAAATAAATCAGTTAAAGAGATAGGTGGTATCAGACTTTGGACAGGCTGCGCTGTATAGATAATTATTGAGACGTTTCCTGGAAACAGGTAATGGGATGGTTGATCGGAGCTGTTGCCAATTTCTATGATTGCTGTATTGCAGCTATAAAATTTGAAAGAGCTAATAGTTCCAAGCAGTTAACCCTATTAGTGGCAGGCTCCTGGCTACCCCATATTAGTGGCAGGGGGGCTGTTTACGACCCCCCCCCCTTGATATCTCGAGATCTAACCGGCCGATTTTCAAAATTCAAACGGCATTCGATTTGACTCAACGAGATCTACATTTCTAAAAAAAATAAAATTAAAAAATGTCAATAGGGGGGTAGAGGGGGGTAAAAACGGGCAAATTGCAGATACATTTTAGACTGTTTATCACGGCCAGGTTTCTGAACCAATCCTAACGCAACTTTTGCCGATCGATAGAGAATGAACCAGGAATTTACATGGATCCTAAAAATATGCATTTTCAAAAATCATAGGCGGATACAGATCATCGAGATTGGGGGTACACAAAAAGTATAGTAAGTAAGGTTTTTCACGGGCGTAGGAACGTCATGAAAAGTGGGTGGGCCACCCTGTCAAGGGGCCTCCTTTTTCAGGGGCCTCCAACTTTTGCCTCGTCCTGCTGGCTGCTTTCAAGTATGACCTCCAAATCTAGCTTCTGAGATCGGGGCTCGGGCAGATGTACCCAGGGGCGTAACCGCTTAAGCGAACAGTGCGGAAAGTCCGCACCATTTTTAAAACTTATTCCCCCTCCGATTTTTTTTTTAGAATCTATTTGCCGCAAACGGCGCATGACCCCTGAAAACCCTTACACAAATGTCTTCCTCGTTTCCCAGGTGCCCCCATTAGCTTCATAGGCGCCCTCTTTGGCATATAAGCGCCCTATGTATAGTCATCAGAGACATCCTATATGTCCCACAGTCGCCCCGTTGTCGCATACAATGTGCACTTATCATAGGCGTCTCTCTTTTATGGACACTTGAAGGCGCCTCTCTTTGCCATGCCGGCGCCCATGTTTCTTATGAATGCACCCCCATGGCATTGATCAATGCAGACCTCTATTGCATGTGGACGCCCATATATTATGTAGGCCTCAGAGGCGCCCCTCTTGCGCATTGAGGTGCCCCTATGGGCTTCATAGGCGCCCCTCTAGATATTGCACGTAGGTGCCCTACTGTCTCAGAACCGCTCCCCTTTGGCATGCAGACGCCCATCTTTCGTACGGAGGAGCCGCTGTGGTTCTTAGAGACGGCATGTTGCTCCCAGACGCAGATGGGGCTCTCGGAGTCGACAGTGTGGGACCTTCAGTCGCTGATGGGTGCCCGCCAGATGTGGACCCTCGGAGACGCCGGTATGGGGCCCTCAGAGATGCCGGTATGTGGCCCTTAGAGACACCGGTGTGGAACCCTCAGATACTTCAGTGTGAAGCCCTTACAATTGCTGGTGTGGAACTATGAATGCGCTGGCTTAAATCCCTCAGAGACCGGTACATGGACATTAGAGCTCAGTGAGAACTTGTGTGGTGCCTTCAGTGGCCTTGTGGAGCCGTTAGACATCAACATGGTGCTCTCAGGAGCCGGTGAGTCCTCAGAGTCACCGGTGTGGGGCCTTCAGAGCTCCGAGATACTGGTGTGGGGCCCTCCGAGGTGTCGGTGTGGGTCCTTCAGATGTACCTATAGAGCCTTGAGATGCACAGGTGTGGTGGCCCACAGAGGCGCCGGTGTGGGGACCCCAGAGCCACCGATATAGGGCCCTAAGAGACACTAGTATGACCCTCAAAGGCGCCGCTGTGTGACGCTCATAAACACTGGTGTGGAGCCATCACAGGCGGGTGGAGCCGTTAGAGGCCGGAAAGGGCCCTTAGATGCCTGCAAGGAGCCTTCAGAAGCCGGCGTGGCACCCTTATGGGGATAAGCGTGTCTACTTAGGAGCCCTTGAGGTGCTCTCATGAGCTCTGTGGGGCCCCACCGGGCCGAAATATGGCCACGGCCAGTTGCCGCCGCATGGCTCTTCGGACTATCATTCTCAGGGGCCTCATCTGCCTAGTTTGAATAGAAGGGCCTCTCAGACAATCAGTCTCATGGGCCTCCTCTGGCTAGTATAGATAGAAGGGCCTATTAGACCATCAATCCTACCTAGGGGCCTTTTCTGGTTAGTATAAATAAAAGAGCCTCTCAGACCATTTATATCAGGGGGCTCCTGTGGACAGTATAAATAAAAGGGCCTCTCAGACCATCAGTCTCGGGGGCCTCCCTAGAAAAGTGTAAATGTGGATAGAAGGCCCCCCTCAGATTCATTAGGAGTGGACCTCTCTGACTATCAGTCTCAGGGGCCTCTTGTAGCCAGTATGAATATAAGAGCCTCTCACACCATCGGTCTCAGGAGCCTCTTCTGACTAGTTTGGATAGAGGGCCCTCCCAGACCACCGGTTTCAGGGGCCTCCAGTGGCCAGTTATATGAACAGAAGGGCCTCACAGCCATCAGCCTCGGGGGCCTCTTCTGACTGGTGTGAATATGAGGGCCTCTCATACCATCAATCTCAGGGGCCTCCTCTGCCTAGTGTGAATATAAGGGCTTCCCAGGCCATCAGTCTCAGGGGACTCTTCTGACTGGTGCCGGATTGAGGACCTCCCAGACCGAAAGTTTTGGGGGTCTCCTGTGGCCAGTATGAATAGAAGGGCCTCTCAGTCCATCAGTCTCATGGGCCTCTTCTGCCTGGTGTGATTATAAGGGCCTCTCAGGTCATCAGTCTCAGGGGCCTCCTCTGACTACAGTGTAGATGGATAGGCCTCTTAGACCATCAGTCTCAGGGGCCTCTTCTGACTATTGAGGATAGAGGGGCCTCCTCTGACTAGTGAGGGTAGGGGGCCTCGGCTAGATCGCCAGTGTCAGGGCCTATTCTGACTAGTGTGGATGGAGGGGCCTCCCAGACCACCAGTCTCAGACGTCTGACTAGTGTGGATAGAGGGGCCTCCCAGACCGCCAGTGTCAGGGGCCTCCCCAGACCAGTGTGTATATTAGGGCCTCCTCAGATCCACTAGGGCCTCTCAGGCCATCAGTCTCAGGGGCTTCGACTGACAAGATGAACAGAGGGCCTCGTTGGATCCATCACGGCCCCTTGGAGTCCGTGCGTGGGGATTCGTGGAACTTATTTTTACCGAGTTTGTTTATTCTGGAAGGTGACGACGTCCTCTCAAATCGAGACGAGGGGCCTCGAGTAAAAAGTGGGTGGGCCAAAACACATGGTTGGCCCCCCCCCACCTCGAAAAGTGGGTGGGCACTTGCCCACCTGGCCCCCCCTGTTCCTACGCCTATGAGGTTTTTGTTGGTACTGTTTCTAAAAAGGGTGGCAATGGTCTTGTTATGTTACAATTTTCTTATGAGAGAACGACTAAAATTGTATTGGTCATGCATAGGCGGTGTCAGGGCACCTATGTTGGGAGGTAAAAAATAACCCCCCTTTTTGGACGCCTGGATCCGCCTATTATAGCAAAAACGTGTCAAAAGAGGATGCACAATAACTTTGTATATGTTACCACATGATACCTTTCATTCACTGTTCGTAAAAATGGTGCAGCATCGTGATCTTCGCCCAAATGACTCGCTTCACGAATAGGACCCCCCAATTCCCAGTGCCCCCCAATTCCCAGTCCCAGTCCCAGTGCGCCCCTGGTAAAGTTATGAACTTGAAATTTTCAGGGAATGTGCCCAATTTAGTTTTAGGAAAAGTCAGAAAATTTCAGCATCGTAGCTTCAGCGGTTTCGGAGATATTCCCGAAAAACCTGAGGGGTGGATAAAAACAACCCCCCCCCCTGCCACTAATAGGGTTAAGCCTTTCCATCGCTCCAAGCAGAAGCTAAATTTAAGGCTTATCGTATGGAAAGTCATGAGGTAATCAAATAGCCCATTTCTCTCTATTTCTATTTCTTCTATAACTGTTCTTTAACTATTTTACTGCACTTTGAAATTCGCAGCATCTTACGATTAGGGCGGAGAAATCGGAATTTTGCTCATGACTGCCTGTTA